ATATACGGGTGTTCTGCCAAAGCTCGCTGGCTTTTGTTCGCTGTGGATACTGTATCTGGCTCATCATCATCTGACCTCTGGTTCTTGAGACTTGAGCCAGCGGAGTGTCGTATTTCCTGCCGATCTTGGGATTTGTTGGCCTCCACAGCTACGCAAGTTAGGAGAACCCTCCAGCCTGATGCCTGGCCCACCAACTTGGGACTTGCCAGCCTCTACAACCGTGTGAGCCATTTCCTGTCTCTCTGTGTATATATAATTACACTTCACTGGTTTTGCTTCTCTAGAGAACCAAGCCTAAGACAATGTGCCACAGTCCCTGCCTTTGTGGCAGCATTGAGGAGTCGTGTGTGCTAGCCTATTGGTGCATGTAGCTCACTTAGGCAAGTTCTGCAGCCTGTCTCTTCCCCAGGCATTTGTCTGGTTGATAAGTGGCTGCTGTGTTTCCAGAGCCTCTAAATAGACCCAGTAGGCTTTTCACAGGTTGTAGGTGGTTTGATGTATGGATAGATCTTAGTCACTTTTTACTCCCCTTTTTGTTGTAAATATTTTAAGTCTCTGGAGGTAAGCTTATCTCAGAGATACATCTATTTTTGCTGCCATTAACTTAAATTGCTGCTTTTTGTTATGGAATCTGGAGGCAGAACAATTTTGTTTTTCCTCATTCTTGCCTGGAGAGGGGTGGGGGACTGGCTTCTCTGTGAGGATCCTTTATCTCCTCAGTTTTTCTGGATCCCCCAGGCAGATATGAAGAATCTGCCCACTAGACCATCAGCAAAAGCGAAATGCATTCACCACTCTCCTGGGCTAACATAAGGTAGTTCACTGTTTGCAGTTCACAGCTCACGGTGTTTAGTGGGTGCTCTGCTCTCACTGCCATGGGGGCTTGGCAGGAGGGTCTCCAGTGTGACAGAGGGGAAAACCTTCTTACCATGACTGCTGACTTGCCCTTCTTCAGCTTTCTGCCTGGTGCTTTATCTGTTAATCTGGTTTCTGGAGTTCTGAGTCATCAGTTTCCCCACAATATTTGGTGTGTTTAGTACATTTTTCTGTAATTATTGTGGAGGAATAGAGGTGCTCAACTGCCTATGCCGCCATCTTGTGGGCAAGTCTGAGGAAAACATTTAAAATACTAAATTATCACTCTGTGTATGTCTTCGGAAACCCTGGTGGCATAGTGGTTAAGACCTGTGGCTTCTGACCAAAAGGTTGGCAGTTCATATCCACCAGGTGCTCCCTGGAAACTCTATGGGGCAGTTCTTCTCTGCCCTACAGGGTCCCTGTGAGTTGGAATCGACTCGACGGCAACTGGTTTGATTTTTTTTTTTTGGTGCGTGTCTTTGGAGCCTTGGTGGCGCAGTGGTTAAGCAGTTGGCTGCTAACCAAAAGATCCACAGTTCGAATCCACCAGCCGCTCCTTAGAAACCCTAGGGGGCAGTTCTACTCTGTCCTATAGGGTTACTTTGAGTCGGAATCGACAATGGGTATAGGGTCACTGTGCGTTCGTACTCACTTGGAGGCAGTGGGTATTTTGGGTTTTTGGTGTGTGTCTTCATTGCTTATTTTACCATTTTCCTGTTTCTGGCCATTTATTGACCCCTACTGACTTGTCTGCTGCAGTGATGATGACAGTGTTCAAGCAGCTTGTGGGCAGACATGGTGGTGGGTGGCTCTCCTTTCCTCTTAGCCCCCGGAGGGAGGACTGGTGGGCAGTATGTCTGTCCAGCTTTGCACTGCGTGAACTGGTCATGCCACACCCTGGTGGTGATGGTGACGTGGTTCTGTGCTCATGTTCCTGGTCAGTGAGGCGCTGCAGGCAGCTTAGCTCTGCTCCGTGTCTGGGCCTCTGCTGAGAGGACCATGGTGGGCTGGTGTGGCATTACATCGTGCGGGGCCATCCCCCCGCGAGAGGCGGTTGATGCTGGCTGTCCCTGGGCTGCCGCTTCCGCACAGACATGGGTTCCTCGTGTGGCCCCTTTGTGGTTCCCCATGACGACTCCTTGTGTGGCCCCTGTGATGTCTCCCTCGTGAGGCTCCCCTTGGTGTCCTGTTTGCATGGTGGCTGCGTCCCGAATGCCTGGGGAGACGGCATGCGGGAGACTTGGCCTTGGGAGGTGCAGATGAGTGTGCTCACTGCCCAGTCTGGGGACAGCCAGGTGGTCCTGCTGCTGCCCTGTGAGAAGGGCAGGAGGTTGGTGTATTGAGGCCATCTGTGGAATGTTGGGCCCAGAATTCCAGGGCTTCGGGACTGGCTTCCTGGTTGTCTTTCTGGAGGTCACGGGAGAGAGCTTAAAAAATTCACAATTAGGTCAACAGACACGTGAAAAGATGCTCAACGTCATTAGCCATCAGAGAAATGGAAATCAAAACCGTAGTGAGGTACCATTTCACTCCCACGAGGACGGTCAAGACAAAAAAAAAAAATAACAGAATAACACGCATTGGAGGGGATGTGGAGAAATTGGAACCCTCATCCATTGCTGGTGGTCATGCAAACTGGTCGACCATTGTGGAAAAGTCTGGGGGTTCCTCAAAAAACTGGAGGTAGAGCTGTCCTGTGACCCAGCAGTTCCACTCCTAGGTCTGTATCCACGGGACCTGGTAGAAATGACAGGAGCAGACATGCACACCTGTGTTCGTCACAGCACTGTTCACAATAGCAAAAAGATGGAGACAACCAAGTGCCCGTCAGCGGGGGAATGGAGCAGTAAAATGGGGTACATACATAAAAACCCGCAATTAGAACAGAACAGGAAGTGCTGCGGGGGCCGCAGAGGTAGGGGTCTTCACTGCTGGGTGGGCAGGTGGGGGCCTTCGTACCGCCAGGGCACGAGGCCAGCTGTCTTCTCTGACCTGATTTTCGTTGCAGGCGCTGCTAAAGATGGTGTGTGATGAGAGCCACCACATCCTGGCCTTGTCCGAGCACCGGGGCGCCCCTAGCACGCTGGGCAGGGGTGAACCACATGACCCTCCAGAGCGTGGCCTGGGGGAGGGGCTGGGCCTGATGGAGGCAGTGCCAGCCCTCGGAGCACCCCAGAAAGGAGAGGAGGTAAGACGATGCTCGTGGAAACCTTGGGGCACTGAGGGCCGCTGTCAGTGCCAGGCCACATTACGGAACAGCGCGGTGCCCCTACAGTGCACGCTCCCCTCTCCCAGGAGTGACGGTGACGCACTGCAGGCCCCGAGTGAACAGCGGGACCCTGGGGCAGGTGACCTGTGGTCCTGGGAACGGGCTCTCAGGTGGGGTGACGTGGGAGAAGGGCAAGCTGACAGCAGGAGGAACTTGTCCCTTAGCGCTGTGTTTATCTCAGATGAGGCCTGACTCGAGGCCTGGCCCCCGTCCCGGCCTCAGCAGATGCCATGTGCTGTCGGGTGGGGGCTCCAGCTGTGACCTTCCGGCCGGTGCTCACCAAGTCTGGACATTCCCAACAGCTACTGTTTCTGCCCTGTGTCGTCCCCTGCTGCTGCGCTGCCACCTGGGGCGCTGATCCTGGGGGTGAGGGCTGCAGCCCGCTCACCTGCCATCCCTGAGACTATGCCGCTTGAGGGCCACATGGTGCCACCAAGGCCCGCAGTGGCCTGCACTGGGTCCTCACCCCAGTCAGGTGGCAGCGGGGTCCTCACCCAGGTTGTTAAGGGTGCGGTGTGGGTGCACTGTACCACCTGCCCTCGAGGTCTGCCTTTGGCTTCTCCCCCATGACCAGGGGTAGGTCTCCTCTGTCCCAGTGGCTTCTGCTTGTCATCCACGGTATGTGAGGTCAGGACGGTGCTCTCTGGTCCCTGTTTCAGGAACCTTCTGACGTGTGTGTGGACTGGAGAGGGGCGTTCCTGCGGGCTGTACAGGACGCGATTGAGAAGGAGCGGCATGCGCTGGGCGTGGAGCTGCAGTCCAGGCTGGGCTGCTGTGAGCCGGGGGATGGTAGCTCCCTGCTTGAGCGGCTTGAGAAGGTCGTCCGGGAGCAGGTGTGCAAGCATGGGTGTCCCGGGTTGGGGAAGGTGCCGCCCTGTTTTCACGCCAAGTTTGCATTCCCATTTTAAGTCAACCTTGGATTGCAGCAGTGTCCACAGTGCCCCGCTGTGTCGTCATGACTGAGCACACAGATGGGGAGGTGTGTGTGCGTCGTCCCCACACTGTGTGGATAGCAGCCTCCTCGGGGGCTCTGGGCACAGACCCACAGCTTTTAGGACGGAGACCCCTGTTCCCACCTGGCCACCTGTCAGTGGGGAGGTTGTGCTGTTGGCATCAGTGACTCAGGCAGCATCCCTGGCTGCTCCCGGCAGCTCTGCTGGATCGCCAGGCAGGAGGGCTCAGGGCGCAGGTGGCTGCCCTGCTTGTGAGCTCTTTGTACAGTCGCTGCACGCGCTGTTCCTCGTCCTCAGTGCTCAGCAAGTGCGGCCCCTTGTCCCAGCGAGGTCCTGGGTTCCTGGTGTGTGGGACACCCACTCGCCCTCTCTTCTCCCAGCTCACACCCCTCCTTGCCCGTGTGGTGCCCGTCTATACCTCCCCGCCTCCTGTCTGCAGGGTGCCCATCCTTACATCTCCCCGTCCCCATCTGCAGGGTACCCGTCCTTACATCTCCCTGCCCCGTCTGCAGGGTACCCGTCCTTACACCTCCCTGCCCCGTCTGCAGGGTGCCCGTCCTTACACCTCCCCGCCCCCGTCTGCAGGGTGCCCGTCCTTACACCTCCCCGCCCCCATCTGCAGGATGCCCGTCCTTACATCTCCCCGTCCCCCCGTCTGCAGGGTGCCCGTCCTTACACCTCCCTGCCCCCGTCTGCAGGGTGCCCGTCCTTACACCTCCCTGCCCCTGTCTGCAGGGTGCCCGTCCTTACACCTC